GAATACAGCTGCGTCAGTGAGGTGGTATTAAAGGGATAGTTCACAACCTTTTATTATGAGGATGTCCAGTCAGTGCTGCTGGAGAACTACATTCCCCAGCATGCACTGTACTGAGAGAGAAAGCTGAGCTCTGCTGCTGTGCCTACAAACAAACACTAAACACTGAACAAGCAGAGTAGAGAATCAGCTGAAGGACCTGAAGCAGTTAGAAGATGTTTTATTAACAGAACGTGACTAATGTGAGAGTCACGGAGGGTTTAGATTGTGTGATACAGATACCTGAAATAATCACTTCTGTTAGTGAGACTTTTACAACTACTACTGGAAAATATAGAAATGTAAGTAAGGAAACCTCTCAGTGAATACGCAGCCATGATGATGATGAACACTCTTTTAGAGTGTTTTGGATCCTTTGGTGCGGCCGGTTCCTGCATGAAGCTCTCCGTTTATTGGTACAAACCAGCGTTCATCTCTTCTCGCTTCTAACCAGAGTGAGCTCATCTCAGACGCTGAAGCGTGCTCCACTCACAGCACACTCGTACTGTACAGCTCGTCCTCTCCACATATTTATTTTTTACTTTTTTTTTAATGTCATGAGCCAACTGTGAAAAGAAGAGCTGGAGCACATACTGTGTCCGTCAGCCGTGTGTGTTTTTTAAGTTATTAAGTTATTTGTCTGAAGTATTGCTTTCAGCGAGCTATGCAGTAACAGTCGTAGGATTTATTTATTACAAGAAGCTCGTGCTGAGGCTTGTTTCCACTGCTTGTGGCCGATGAATGGACGCTTTGAGAACGCTCTTTCTTCCAGCGTAAGAAGGGTTAATAACATCTGGACGCCTGTATAGTGGAACCATTTTAACATGTAGGTTGTTCTTACCAGATTATGAACGTTTTAAAAAGAGGGCACCGGGTCCGTTTATTACCAGAAACTACACAAACGATGTTTCATTCACAGGTTTTTCATTTCTTAAATACAAAGTTTTACATTTAAATTCTCGTTTCTTTGCCTCTGATCTCCACAGTGTTCACTGTGCTCCCGGTAGACTTCTTAGACTGTGAACGAGAAGTGGTTTGTTTCACTGTGGAAAGGGTTAAACAGCAAGAGATGTTCATTAGCGCTGCAATTAATAAGTATTATTCTCTTCATCATCAAAGAAATTAACTTAATCGACTCATTGTTGCAGTTATTGAACAAACTTTTAGCTTTTTCTAAGATCAGAAACCTGCTCAGCAGAAGATAACGAGAAACACTTTGTTTCTGCTTTCAAACATTTTTATTTCTGTTTCTTCAGGTTCAAGATATTTCACAAACTCAAAACTCTTCTTCTCTCTGTTATTAAAGTGTAATATTCCTGTCTTTAGCACTTCTTCCTCCCGGTGAACGACCACAGAAGAAGTGTCGCACGTGGTCACAAACGTCTCATGTGTCGCTGCATCGTGAGCATCACTCTGCTGTCCTCTCGCTGCTCCTCTTCCTCTCATGTTGCTGTTAAAAGAAGAAACGTGTAACCAATAACGTACTACTGTCCTGATTTATGGCACATTCAGTCATAGCGCAGCGTCCTTTAGTCCATCGGTCTTCAGTCTGTCAGTAGGAAAACAGAATAGAGGATTCAAAAAATAAACAAACAAAAAAAAAACACCTTTGCTGCAACGACTGTATCCGAAAAAGAAAGTAAAATCAGATTAACATACCTTATAATCTGAGTAGAAACTCTTTGGAAACGATTTGTAACTTCTTTCCAGAAATAAATGTTCATATTGGTCAACTTTCAGAAGACTGTGGAGTGATTTTATATCTGTGTGTGTGTGTTTCTGACTGTCTTCTTTATGTACTCGTCACAGCCTTTGTTATAACGCTAGTTAATTAGTTATAATAGACTTATCTTATTATTCAGTAAAACTGCCTGTGCCAAAGCCCACTGTATATTATCCATCGGGCTTAATAATATTATTATTATTATTATCCAGAAAGTTTGGCGCGCTTCTCACACAGCGTTGCCAACAGCAGCGTGAAAATACATCAAAACGTGCGGCCAGATCGGGAATAGTGTGCTGTCTATTTTTCGGAGAGATTCGCCCAGCAGTTTTCCCGAAAGGTGTACCAGTTGTGTCTATTGCTCTGGAGCTCACATTATTAACACCACAAACATAATAAACACATCAGCGCGTTCGGCAGAGTCTTATCTTTCTCACGGTATCCATATTGTGGCACTCAGATTTTTTGTTAAAAGGAGGCAGGGGTTTTGTTCAAAATCACTGTTTACTGTAATGTTTCTTAATCAGTCTGCCTCTAACACCAGGTGTGTCCTCACCATGGCAACCAGTTACACACACGCAGGCAGGCTCTCTCTACACACACACACATGACATGGAGATATTCAGTCAAAGGCATTCCTGTCTGTCTCTCTCTATCATACAGTCATTCAGGTCTTAAGATATTTTTAGAGACCCCCCCCATTTCAAAATAAAAGCCCCATAGAGTAACTGTATCTTAACATGAAGCTCAGAATGAGGTTTGTACAGAAATGATGGGAGCGTCAGCATCATTTCCAAAGGCTTCTCAAACAAAGATGTACATGTCCAGCACAGAAATGACGGGAGCCATTTGTGGACTGTCCATCACCAATACAAGATTCAATCCAAGAGTATGAATCTAAAATACAGAAAAGAGAAAAGCGATATCTCAATCAAACCTCAACGATACCACCGGTAACATCGGCGTGTGTAGCTATATATTGCGACGTCTTCAGGCAGTAGAAGCCACACTGTCCAAATTCCTTGCGAAATTTTCTAGTTATTGTTAATAACTATTTAAAAGGAGTATTGTGTATTTATATTTTATGCTACTTCTACTTGTAATTTTTACTCACCTGCATTTATCTAGTTACGAGTAACTTTGCACATTCATTATAATACAAAATATTAATCATAATATACATTTTGATTATAGGTTTAGCTACCCAGCAATATGTAAATATGTTAAACGTAGCTCCGCCTTTACCAACTGCAAAATTAAAGTGATGAATTAATGCATCAATAATTATAACCCAATAATGTTATAATCTAATATTCTTCTACCTTCTACTTATGGTACTCTAAGTATATTTTTGCTTGTAACAGAGTATTTCTACACTGGTATTATTGCTTCTACTTAAATAAAAAGGATCTGAATACATTTTCCAGGCTTAATAAACAAGAGCTTGAGCATGCAAAACTTACAAAACAACAACTAATAAAATATTAAATTTATTTATTTCGAAAATATGTTTAATAGGTATTATTAAAGGTATTAGAATAATTCTGGCGCTGTTTTTTTGATCAACAGATGCGCATGCGCTCTTTAGTTTGCTACTCCTCCGGCTTTCCGTAGTAAAGCGAAAGTCTCCTGGACGAGAATGTCATATATGAAACTGGTAACTAATTTTTAACGTTTGTCACCTTTGTTACCACTTTAAATATTATTTGTTTCCTAATGTTTAGCTGTCATATAGTGAAGTGTATCTTTATGGCGTTACACACTGAAATTATACAACAAAAAAATGAGTCAAACGTTGCTAAATTAAGTCATTAGCCAATGCTAGCATGTTGATAGCTGCTGTAGCTAACAGGGTCAGTTAAACAAGCTCCTTTTTCCTCGTTATTTTAAACTAACGTGTGATATTTAGACCCCATTGGTGTCTACGTTATTAACTAAAGTGGTTTTAACTGACATTACAGCCTCATTTACCGCTCTATTAGTTAGCTTTATCATGTGTGTTCTGCCGTTGTGCCGCCAGGTGTCGCTGTGTGTCGCAGCTCCGCCTGTGACGGGCCTGCTGCTGGGCGGCTCGGTGCTGGCGGCCAGTGAGGCGAAGAAGAAGAGCTCTCACGCTGCTCTGAGCATCGATGAGGTGGGTTCTACAAGCAGTACTGCATTCAAAACCTTACTGAAGTAAAAGTATGTTATCACTCTTAACGACAAGTACAAGTACTGCATGTAGTATAAGTACATATATCATGTATTTAACTAAGAGAGGAAGCACAATAGTGTGTTTTATGGATATTATTGAATGATTCATCCTCTGTCGGCTGTAACAATATATTATATATATATATAATATATAATATATATATTGTTATATATCTTTGTGAAAACTCCACTAAAGTCTCAGTTATTCTCTGTAAACTCTGTAGCTGATCCTCTCAGATGACCCGTTGTGTAGAAGCGACTCTCTCTTCCAGTTCGTCTCTGCTTGTTTTCACCGTAAACACTGTTGTTGATCTCGTGTTTTTAAAAGAGCGGTCATTATCCTCTTCTGGCTTTGTAAAACCTTAAATCAATACCAGACTACACACAGTCTACCATCGATCAGTCGATGCCTGCTGAGCATTTGTTTGTTATTAACAAACGCCTCCTTTTGTCAGTCTTCACTTTGGGGTGTTTTAAGTGAATTAAAGCCAAAAACTCCAGTTTATGTCAAAAAGTATCGAGTGTAGAGAGTGGAGTATAGTAGTGCTTGGATATTAAGTACAAATTTCAACCCAATCCAGTGAAAAGCAACTTGTGAAGCTTAAACACACAAACTTACTAAAAGCTTAAGGTCTTTGAAGTCGTTGTCACGTTCATATTTTAAAGAGAATCCCCAGCGTGGACTGGGAGGTCTTGGTGAGCTGGTCTGAAGTGACCCAGTTGGACTCGTTCTTCAACATGAGTTGTTGTTGTTTGTTCTAAGCTGCCGTCGTTGTACACCAGCCCCGAGGTGGAGCCTCAGCATGTGGAGCCAGAGGCCGGGCCGCTGGAGCACAGCGTCGCATCGCTGAGGAAGTTAACGCAACCGTACACGACCCAGTGCCAGGTGGGTTCTAACACTTCCTGTCTCCACAGTGAGAGGGAATGAAAAACAGCAAAACAACTGGGTTTGATCTCTGCTGGGACTAATGCTTCAGAGTTCCTGTCACCTGCACGTTAAATATAGAAGCTGGAATCCGACACCGAGTTAAAGTTCCTCACAGTAACTTTACGTTGGGCTCTCACCGTCACATGTCCTCCATACATTTAGTAGAAATGTTGTCGTATTCCTAAAGAACCACAATCTGTTCTCCTCAGTTCAACTCTTCATTCTTCACTGGTGACGTCAGTATTCTGACTCAGCTGTTGTTCACTGCAGAATAAACACAATCACATGAGCTGAGCAGCTGATGGACATTCATCTTTTAGTTTCCAGAATAAGACACACGAGCAACAAGTTGAGCAACAAGTGGACATGAAGCACGTGTGTTGTTATTATCTGTGGGATTAAAGTGCAGTTTGGTTTGTTTTTGTGATGCTGAGGCAACAAAAATATGACTTTTCATGTAAGACATTATTAAGCAGTGCTAATTGTTTTTTCTTCTTCGTTGTTTTCAACATTACTGCTGTTTGGTGTCACAGTTCTGACCGTAGAAGTAAAAATACACAGTATTTTATTCTGTGTCGAATCAGAGAATTAACTTAAATTTTATGTCTTTTTGCAGCAAACAGGCCGAGCTGCAGTGGAGAAAGTTGAGGTTAGTCACGTTTCAAAATATAGATAAAACGTTTCAAACGTCTGTGATTATTAAAGTGAAGTAGTTTTATACGTCGTCAGAGGAAAGAGAACCTGAAGTTTGTCTCTGTGTGTCTGCCGTTGATCTTTGGACCTCAGCGAGTTTACAAGATTGTAGAGCCGACAATCAACACCTCCATAACCACGGTCACAGGTAATACACACACACACACACACACACACACACACACACACCAGGACCTGCAGAACAAACTGAAGCTGGAAGTGAAAACACTCTTAAAGTGTGAAACTGACACATGACTGCACAGATATTTCACAACCTGTTGGCCATCTTCTCTCAGTCTCCCTCTGTGTTTTATTTTAGTACTTTTGTATTTTCCAGATGTGTACCAGTTCCTCAGGGACCCCCCTCCTGACCTCTACCCCAGTGTTGCGGTGGTGGGCTTCTCTGGCTTCCTGGGACTTTATGTGGCCAAAGGTGACCGACAACACGTCTGTTCTTCTGCAACAACTTCCTTTTCATCCAAGATTACTTCCTCCTCAGGAGACGACAAAAACATCCTCCAGCCTTTAAAAGACGGCTCTAATTGGATAACTGTCGCTCTGCTGACTAACTGAGTTTAGAACATTGAAGCATTAACGTCACTTTCTGGGTGTGTCAGCAATACATCGAAAAGTATGTTAACAATTCTTCTTTGCAAGAGGTTTCAATACTTACAAGGTCTTATATATTCAAACGATTCAGTACGAATATATGTATAGAAATATAACCAACTTAAATAACACACGCACATCAAAATACAACCAAACATTTGTTCCATATGAGTCACATGTTCAGGTGAACACACAGGAAGATATCCTCCACATCTAAAGCTCTATCCCATGTTCCTCCATCAGTGTCCGTCCTTCTATACAGAATTGAATTATCACATTTTAAGTTTAGCCACAGTTTAAAGTAACAAACGTTCATAATTATGAATTCTTTGATTATTAGCAGCTGTTTTAAAGACGTCCTTCTCCTCCAGGCTCCAGAGTGAAGCAGCTGCTGTTCCCGGCTGGACTTATGGCGCTGACGGCCTCCATGTTTTACCCTCAGCAGGCGGCGGCGCTACTGAAGGTGAGCGACCATATTCAGACTGAGGAGGAGTGATGTAGAGACCTGTCAATCACTGTGTAGCCCC